AAGCCAGACGTGAAGTGCACACACCTTTAATCCCAGCACTCCAGAGGCAAAGGCAGGAGAATCTGAATTAAAGGCCAGGCTGCTACATAGCGAGTTCCAGGCCAGCCAGGGATACATAGAGAGACCCTATCCTAAAAAAAACAAGCAAAAAGTCTGAATTAGTTGTGGAAGGAGTTTCTCTAAACTCATTGAGTAGTCCCCTGTGGTCCCTGTGAGGCTGTTTTGTCTGGTAGCACATGCATTCTCTCTTGTCTTCTCCATTTTTATGTTGTAAGAATGAAGAGAGAAAGTGGGTGGTCAGAAAAGGTAAAGGAAGAAACCAGAGGGAAGAGAGACCAGGGAGAGGGTATTGGGAAGCACCATCTGATTAGTTGGACCAGGGCCTTGGGAAGGATGCAGATAGTTGCACTGAGCCCCTAGTGCTGACTGTTCTTCACCTGTATATCTTGGCCAGATGTGCTGATGCTGCTGATGACAGATGTGCTGGTGTTTCTCCAGGAGAAGGACCAGAAGTACATTTTTCCTGCCCTGGTGAGACCTTCCTTCTCTCCTTGCTCTTGTTTTCCTCACTGAGCCCAAAAGAGTTCTGAACAGAGTCAATCATTCTAACTATTGCTTCTATATAATACAAAGTAAGGTTAACTATCAGGTGTTACCACTGTGCACAGGCATGTTTACACCTGTGAGGAAAGCCATTATTAACATCATTTTGTAAGTGATGAAGGTAAAGGTTAGACATGGTGGCACATGGCTATAATTCCATCACTTGGAAGGTTGAGGCAAGAGGAGCAGGAATTAAGGCCATCCTTAGTCATATAGTGAGTTCAAGTCCAGCCTGGACTATATAAGACCCTGTTTTTGAAAAATTAAAAACTAGCTGGGCATGGTGGTGCATGCCTGTAGTCCCAGCATTCGGGAGGCAGAGGCAGGCGGATCTCTGTGAGTTCGAGGCCAGCCTGGTCTACATAGTGAGTTCCAGGACAGCTGGGGCTACAGGGAGACCCTATCTCAAAAAAAAATAAAATAAAAAAAATAAATAAAAAACTAAATAAAGTAGAACTTAGAGTTGAGTGTGATGGTACAAACCTATAATCACAGCGCTTGGGAAGCAGAGGCATGAGGAGAGCAACTTTGAGGCCAGCCGCCAGCCTAAAGTACATAGTGAGAACTGGGGGTGGAGGGGTGGGGTCGGGGGGCCGGCCAGAGGGAGGAAGGGGAGGAGAGATCATCAAGGGTCACACATACTTTTAAGTCCCCTCTGGCTGGTACTGACTGATGCCTGGGCTCTTGCATGTGGAGTGTCTTCTTCAATCCTTTTGGCATTCCAGGACTGAAGACCCAGATAGGTGAGGTTCTGGATTCCTTTTTCTTTCTTTTTTTTTTTTTTTTTTTTTTTGAAGCAGGGTCTCCCTGTAGCCCCAGCTGTCCTGGAACTCACTATGTAGACCAGGCTGGCCTTGAACTCACAGAGATCTGCCTACCTCTGCCTCTCTCCCAAGTGCTGGGACTACAGGCGTGTGCCACCACGCCCGGCTGGTTCTGGATTCTTAATTCTTCCCTTTCCCTGATAGGACAAACCTTCGGTGGTATCCCTGCAGAATCTGATCGTTAGAGACATTGCCAACCAGGAGAAAGGGATGTTTCTGATCAGTGCGGCCCCACCTGAGATGTATGAGGTGCACACAGCATCCCGAGATGACCGCAGTACCTGGATTCGGGTCATTCAGCAGAGCGTGCGCGTGTGAGTGTGTGCCCGCTGCCTGCGTGTATGCACAGCTTCAGTTCCCAGGCAGCAGTACTCCCTGGGGTCAGAACCCGGCCTGATAGTCTGGGCAGAGCCTAGAGATAGACTGAATCAGCTAAGGTGGATAAGTCACATGAAGTAGTTTATATGCTGACAACCCCAATTACCCTTCAAATGCACACTGAGATGACCAAGGGGCATACCTGCCAGCCAATGGAGCAGTGTCACCTGTACAGCATCACAGGTGATAAGCAGAAAGGTCTTATTTGTATTACATTTTACCTGTATTTTCTAAAAATGGAGATGAGGATAAAGCATTGATACTAGAGAGGTGAATAAGTTTCATTTAGAAACTTAAACAGTAAATGTAAGAATTATTGTGTTAAAGCAGTCAGTTCTTAGAACATACATTGGATTTGAGGCAGTCAGCTAAGTGTCTAAGTTGCAATAGGAAAAAAGTCGAAGTATAGGCAAAAGTGTTGAAAATAGCCTAGTGAGGTGTGGCATGCCTATAATCCCAGTGCTTCAAAAGTGAGGGCACAGTGATTAATGGTTAAAGGTCAACCTTGATACCTAAGAAGTTCAAGGCCAGCTGGGGCTCCATGAGACCCCTGTCTCAGCAACAGAACTAGTGATATAGCTCAGTTAGTAGAGTGTTTGCCTAGCATGATGAAGCCCTGCACTCCATTGTCAGCACTGAAATTAATCAGATGTAGTGACCGTAGAGAATCAGAAGTTCAAAACAAGAACAACAAAAAGTTGAAAAAAAAGCGTTCTTGAAAACTATGCCTAAAGCATGAACTCTTGAATTATTTTCTTTCATAGTACTAGAGACTGAACCCAGGGCCCTGTGCAGCCTAGATCCAGAGCTCCCAGCTAAGAGTTTTTATGATCTTTATAATCTTTAGGAAAGGAATATAGTGATGGAGAAAATTGGTGCAAAGAACTAATAAAGCCACGGTGTGAGGGGGGAGGTATCTCTAGAAGAGGGAAGTGTGCAAAGCAGGGAACGCTAATTCCTGGTGTCGTTTCCCCAAACCCATCCTACCTGTTACCCCTGCAGATGCCCATCCAGGGAGGACTTCCCCCTGATTGAGACAGAGGATGAGGCCTACCTCCGGCGGATCAAGAGTAAGTCCCTTCCCAGGGAGTGCGTTAGGTGATTTATTATATGTACACAAAATATTTGGCAACTCTTAAAAAGATGAGAGAGGGCCTGGAGAGATTACTCAGTGGTTAAGAGCATTAGCTGCTCTTACAGAGGACCCAGGTTCCCAGCCCCCACATGGCAGCTAACAACCCTCTATAACTCCAGTTCCAAGGGATCTGATACTATCTTCTGACTTAATGTGGGCATTGCATGCCTGGGTGTACTTATGTATATGCAGGCAAAATACTCATACACATAAAAAAAATATATTGTTCAGGAAAAAAAGCCAGATTTAAAACAACGTAAAAATGAATGATGTAATTTGTGTGAGAGTAGTGCAGATAGATAAATGTACATTCACATTTGTGTGTTGTGTGTGTGCGTGTACGTGTGTGTGTGTGTGCATAATTTCTCAAGAAAGATGTTATTGGGCCTAACGTGATGGCACATACCTTTAGTCCCAGCACTCAGGAGGCAGAGGCAGGCAAATTTCTGTTAGTTCAAAGCCAGCCTGGTCTACATGGTGAATTCCAGGCCAGCTGGGTCTACAGGGAGACCCTGTCTCAAAAACAAGAAAGATGTTATCATGGCTATGTCTAGGAAGGGAATGAAGAATACTGGCTGGAGTAACGTTTTTATTATAGAGACTTACATTAGTAAGGTTAGGTGTGACCTCATTGCTAAACAAAAATCAGTTGCTTAGGGGCTGGAGAGACAGCTCAGTGGTTAAGAGCAATTGCTGTTCTTGCAGAGGACGTGGGTTGGGTTCCCAGCACCCACATGGCGGCTAACAGCTCCAGTTCCAGGGGCTCTAATGCCCTCTTCTCACCTCTGCAGGCATTGCATGCATGTGGTGCACTTACATACCTGCATGCAAAACATCATACATTAAATTTAAAAAAAAAGAAAAAGGTTTGGAGAGATGGCTCAGTGGTTAAGAGCACTGGCTGCTTTTCCTGAGGACCCAGGTTTGGTTTCTAGCACCCATATGGTGGCTAACAACCATCCTTAACTCCAGTTCCAGGGGATCCAACATCCTTTTCTGGCCTCTGGGCATTGTGTAACACAGGTGCACTTACATACATGCAGGCAAAACACTCATATGTAAAATAAAAACTAAAAAAAAATAGATTTGGCCAATGAGGTGGCACAGCCTTTAATTCTAGCACTTGTGTGGCAGAGGCAGGCAGATCTCTGTGAGTTCAAGGCCAGCCTGATCTACATAGTGAGTTCCACGCTAGCTGGGGCTGCAGGGAGTCCCTGTCTCAAAAATACCAAAAAACAACAAGAACAACAAAAAATAAAGTCTTGTTTCAAAACAAAAAAGTCCAGAGGCCAGAAGTTAGTCATATTGGGAGTATCCAGTTTCAAGTCAGCCTGAGAAACATAGTGATAGAAGGGTAGCCAGGCACCCAATAGAGAGAATGAAGTAGAAAACCTTGAACCCTTTGCTACATATCATTTTTACTTTTGTTTCATAAAACAAAACAAACAATAATTATATTTTCTTCCCCTCCCCCCCAAAAAAGTTTTTTTTTTTCCTGAATAACCCAAACCCAAAATTAAGCGCTGTCACTCTGCCCAGCCTGACCCTCACCCCCAAGCTGCCTCTCCAAGGGCTCTTTGGATCCTTGAGCTCTTCCATACTCAATTGTCCTGTCCACAGTGGAGCTCCAGCAAAAGGACCGGGCACTGGTGGAATTGCTGCAGGAGAAGGTCGGTCTGTTTGCTGAGATGACCCACTTCCAGGCAGAAGAAGATTGTGTCAGTGGGATGCCTCTGCCCACCCTGCCCAGGGGCCTTTTCCGCTCTGAATCCCTTGAGTCCCCTCGAGGCGAGCGGCTCCTGCGAGATGCCATCCGCGAGGGTGAGGATACTCCCACTGAAATCTAGGCTGCACACTCAGCATCACAAAGTAGAGACCCAAGACCAGGGACATACCAGCCCCATAAGCTATGAAAAAAACCCTGAGGGTTTGTCCTTACTCCTGGGAAGGGCAGGGGAACAGGCCTGGCCTTGCTGTTGGACTCCTCTCCCTTTGCACAGGCTGTGTTACCCCTTGGGCATCTATGACCTTTGGCTGCCACCCTGCTGAAACTGTCCTACCTAAATAAGGACTCCTAGATGACTTGAATCAACTGTCTGTGTTGGGTGAATGGCATAGTCCACAAGGTTTTGTCCCTCCAGTATTCACTTCCTCTTTCCCCTCAGTGGAAGGCCTGAAAGACCTGCTGGTGGGGCCTGGTGTGGAGCTGCTCTTGACATCCCGAGAATCAACCATGCCCTTGGAACTGGACAGTGGTGGTAACACCAGTCCTGGGGTCACTGCCAGTGAGTATAGGGGAGGAGACCAAGTTAGTAGGTGGGAGAAAAGCATTGCCGGGCGTGGCGGTACACGCCTTTAATCCCAGCATTTGGGAGGCAGAGGCAGGTGGCTTTCTGAGTTTGAAACCAGCCTGGTCTACATAGAGAGTTCCAGGCCAGCTGGGACTACAGGGAGACGTTGTCTCAAAAAGACAAAAAAAATAAAGACATTGGAGGTGTGTTTTGGGGTGGGCGTTCCCAGTTCCTGAGAAAGTGAGCTGTACCCCCTCCTTTTCTCCTTCACTACAGATGGAGAGGCCAGAACCTTTAACGGCTCCATTGAGCTCTGCAGAGCAGACTCAGACTCTAGCCAGAAGGTGGGTTCTCGGGAGGGTCAGGACATGGCTAGAGGTGGGAAGGGTACAGCTGGCCTGTGGATCTTCAACAGAAAGCTGCTGGGGCAGGATTGTGCCTGCTTACGTCCCATCCTTGCCCATTTCTGCAGGATCGAAATGGAAATCAGCTGCGGTCCCCCCAGGAGGTGAGATGGGAATTCTTTGGTGGAAGAGATAGAGGGAAGCTACTCTGCTAGAAAACGTAGCCCGCTTTGGGTGGTTTTGGGGAGAATATACCTCACGGTATTTCTCTAGACACACGGTTGTATCGATCCCCACACACTGTTGATAACTTAGGGAAATTCTCCCATCCTGAAGTGTGGGCCTTTTTCTACCCTCTCCTCTGTCCTCAGGAGGTGTTCCAGCGATTGGTCAATCTCTATGGACTTCTTCATGGCCTTCAGGTCAGTGGCCAAGGGCTGGAATTGGGACAGAGGGGAGGAACCAGCCAGAGGTACCCATGTAGGTAGCAGTCATCCTGACAGGCCTGCATACTCCCCAAGCCAGTCTCTTTAGGAATGATGACCTGAGTTCCAGGGAAATGAGGGAGATATGGGAGGAAATGGTTCTGAAGCACCTTTTGGCTTCATCCCACCCCCAGGCAGCTGTGGCCCAGCAGGACACTTTGATGGAAGCTCGGTTCCCTGAGGGCCCTGACCGGTGGGAAAAGCTATCCCGGGCCAACTCTCGGGATGGCGAAGCTGGCCGGACTGCGGTTGCCCCTGTGGCTCCTGAAAAGCAGGCCACAGAGCTGGCACTGCTGCAACGTCAACATGCATTGCTGCAGGAGGAGCTGCGGCGTTGCCGTCGACTAGGTGAAGAGCGGGCAACTGAGGCTGGTAGCCTGGAAGCCCGGCTCCGAGAAAGTGAGCAGGCCCGGGCCCTGCTGGAACGGGAGGCTGAAGAGGCTCGCAGGCAGCTGGCCGCCTTGGGCCAGAATGAACCACTTCCTGCTGAGGCCCCCTGGGCTCGCAGGCCCCTGGATCCTCGACGACGCAGCCTCCCAGCAGGAGATGCCCTATACTTGAGCTTCACTCCCCCGCAGGTAAGTTTGCTTGGAGTAGTAAACTGACCCAGGTAGATATAAAGACCCATAGAATCTGAAAGTTGTTGAGGATTTGAGCCCAAGTGACATTAAACAACTGGTTTGAATGACACTATTAGTTGGGTTGGGCATGGCTCAGTTGTAAAGTGCTTGCCATCTTATATGAACCCTTTTTGGATGCCCCCCAGAATCCCCATTCAGAGCTCAGTGTTCCATACTTGTAATCCCAGCCCCCCGCCTAGGTTAATTGATGAGTTCCAAGCCAATGAGAGACCCTGTCTTATTGTAAAACAAGGTGGACAGCTCCTAAGGGATAGCCCTTGAAATTGACTTCTGGCCTTACAATGCATGTGTAGGCACAAAATAATACTGATTGAACCAAAAAGAAATTCTGGGCTGTGGATATAGTTCGGTTGTAGCCTAGATAACGTGCAATTTGCCTAGATAACGTGCAATTTTCAGCTCTGCCAACAAAGAAAACCACTTTTTTTCCCTCAAGATTTCTGCAAATAGTCCATGTGGGGCATTGTGGGTGCCTGGAGTCCTTTATTTGAAGGCAAAGGCTGGAGGACCACCTGAGCCCAGGAATTTGAGACCAACCTAGGCAACATAGTACCTTGTTTCAAAAAGAAAAATTTAGAGCATCATAGGGATGAGCATTGAAGGCAAACAAGACGGGTATCCCACTGAAAGGAGACCACTGAAGAGTCATTGATGTGCATGTTGGGGCCCAGAAGGGCCCACTGCTCTAGCCAAGCAGAGCCTGCCCCCTTGACTGTGCTCATCCACTGGATTGCTGCTTTTGCTGTCCATAGCCCAGTCGAGGCCATGACCGCCTGGATCTGCCAGTGACTGTTCGCTCCATCCACCGACCCTTTGAAGAGAGGCAGGAGCTGGGTAGTCCTGAAGAACGGCTTCAGGACAGCAGTGACCCTGATACTGGCAGTGAGGAAGAAAGCAGTAACCGTCTGTCTCCACCCCACAGTCCACGAGGTGAGACTCTGGCAGGGTTGTGGGGTTTGAGGTCTAAGCCCTTGGACTGGATATGGATAGGCTCTAAGTGACTCCTGAGATCCAGTTATCCTGTGACGGATGTCGAAGATTTCCTATTCTGTGGATGACAAACAGGTGGTGGAACTCTAAGAAGCAGTGTCTTCCAGTTGGTTGATGACTGCCAACCTTTTCAAGTAGAAATCTATTTTCAAAGTAAAATAATGTCAAGGACCTCCAAACCCTTAAGACATCTGTTTTTTATTTAATTTTTTTTCCGGAACTGAGGACCAAACCCAGGGCCTTGCGCTTGCTAGGCAAGTGCTCTACCACTGAGCCAAATCCCCAACCCCTTAATCAGACATCTCTTGTAATTTTCTGTTATATTCTAGGATATGCTGGTGACTTTAGTGTTTGAGGGTCATCCCTCCATGGTGCTCAGACCTGCCAGCCTACACTGGGCAGGCCTCTGTATGAGTGTGTGCCCCTCCTCCTGGGAGATCTTCCTCACTTAGCTCTATTCTGTCCCTCTTCAGACTTCACCCGAATGCAGGACATCCCTGAAGAGGCAGAAAGCCGAGACGGGGAGCCTGTGGCTTCAGAGAGCTAAGGGGGACCCTCCCCCCATCCTGGTGCCCCACAGAAGAACATTACTGAAGGGGGAAAACCTTGGGAACTTCATTCTGCCAACAATGCGGGAATATTTGAAAGAACTGCTGATTGTCCTTGCCAGCTCTTGGGATCCTTGGATGCCTGGGGCCATGTAGGAACTGGGGGTTTAGAGGTTACAGTACCCCTGGTGGCATCCAAGAGCTATACCACAGATGCCAATTTCTCATGCCTTCTTCCCTCTACTTAGGAAATTTTATTTATTTATTGTTTATTAGTTACAGGGGGGAGAGGGAGATTTAAAGGACCAGGGACATGGGAACCAAGCCATAAGGATCAGGGGGCCTTGTCCTTTAAACACTACTGGGGTATGTTCAGGCTTAGCCATGCAGCTGCTGGGTTCCAGCCTAACACCCACCCCAGCGACACCCATCTTAAGAGAGGCTGTGGCCACAGAACCTACTGCCCCTTTAAGGAGGGCTGGGGGCAAGGGGCAGGACCGTGGCCCTCTCCCCTCTCCCCTCAGCCTCCTACTGCTGTTCTCCCTGTTCTTTGACCTCCGTGGAAACTACAGGGAGAGACCCCGGCTCCCTGGAGTTGATGGAGCAGAGCTTAGGGTAGCCATATTTTGTTGGGGGTAGAGGAGAAATCCACAGGGACCAGAATTTTTTTTTTTTTTTTTTCGTTTTGTACCAAAGCCCATTGCACGTGTTTTATATTTTTAAAGAAGACTGTAGGCACTTCTAGCTCCATGTTTCTGAACCTGAGGAGTTGGGGAGACACTGACTTCTCCCTTCATCTGCAGAAAGGGGCTTGCTCCTATTCTGAGTTCTTCCTTAACCATTTGGAAGAAGCTCTAGGGTGGGTTAGGAAATCTAGAAACTTTCACCCCATCTCTCACCACAGCAACCAGAGTTGAAACCTCAGCAAGAATTTAGGGGATTTTTCAGTAGGACCCTGATGCCCACCAGCACAAACCATTTTTCTGTCAATTTGACTGTTTAAAGAAAGAAAGAAAAAGCTCAAGCAGAGAAAATTAAAGACCTGAAACACATGAGATACTGTCTCAATGACTGCCCAGTGAGGATTGCAATGGCTGCAGCCAGGCAGTGATGGAGATTTCTGTAGAGGCCATTGCCACCTCACCGAAGAGGGTACAACACATGGAGCTGCCGCAAATCCTTTTTTAAAAACGCAAGGAATGAAAATGAAGTTGCACTCAGGTCCCAGTGGCTGTTGGGGATTCCAATATTAGAAAACTCATTTACATGTTATTTGTATGCTGTGCTTGAAAACCACATCTGGTCCTTGACCCCCAACCTCCACAGTTCCTGTTATCCTCTCCTCCATACTTATGCCTACAGCATTGGAGCCCAGGGCTGAATGCTCAGAGGAGTAGCACTCTGCCTCTTGGGAAGGCAATAACTAGTTTCAGTTCTTGGTTTTGGTTCCTTTCACTTCCTGTTTCTAGTAGATACCCTATACTTGGGCTGTGGGGCAGGGAGGGTGTGCATGTATGCATATCTCCTGTAGCCTATAAGAAGGGTCTCAGGCTGCCAGCTAGAAAGTAGAATTGAAATTGCATGGGGGGCAAACAACACCTTCCACTCCACCAGCTTCTGGCTCTTTACAAGGCACTTTCTCATCCATTTTGGAACTCCTAGGCAGTAGAAATTGTTTTATATAGTTATTTATTTTAATTTTTTTTATTTTTGGGGGGGCGCTTTTTGAGACAGGGCCTCCCTGTAGCCCAGCTGTCCTGGAACTCACTCTGTGGACCAGGCTGGCCTCGAACTCACAGAGGATCTGCCTGCCTCTGCCTCCCGAGTGCTGGGATTAAAGGCGTGCGCCACCACCCCTGGCTTATTTATTTTACTTTTTTAAAAAAATCTTTTTGAGACAGGTTTTCCCTGTAGCCCCAACTGGCCTGGAACTCACTATGTAGACCAGGCTAACCTTGAACTCATAGAGCTCTACCTGCCTCTGCCTCCAGAGTGTTGGGATTAAAAGCATGCACCACCACACCTGGCCTTTACTATTATTTTTGAGACAGGGTCTTGCTATAAAGCCCAGGCTGACCTTGAATTCATGGCAGTCCTGCCCTGGCCTCTCAGATATTGGGATTACACACATGAGCCAGTATACCCAGCCTAAATTGTTTTCCTTTTACACAATGGAAAAAAAAGTTTCCAGGCCAAGAAACAAGTCTTTCACTTCTCCATTTGGCTACTCTGCCTAAAAGCACCAGAGCTCTGGTTTCAAGCACATTGATGGTTCAGTAGATGTCAAGACTAAACATCTAAGCATCTGTAGCCATGCTTGCAAAGGTTGAGTGAAGGCTGCTGGTGAGGTGGGGGAGAAGGGAGCATGGTTTCCCACCATTCTCCCATGGATCCAGGAGAAAACCTGGAACCTGGAGACAGATCCCAGAGTGTGAGTTTGAAAGAGCTCCATTCCTTCTGCCTGTCCACCTCATCATCAGCCTCAAGCCAGGCCCCTCCCTCCTTTCACCATTCTGTCCCTTGGCCTCTCCCAGATCCCACTTAAGAACTCAACCATCTTCACCTTGGTTCCTCCTGCCATTTCAAAGCTCTGTGGCTTTTGTGCTCCTAGGAGCCAGTGTCAAGCCTCTTGCCTTAAATTGTGCTGCTTTCTCTTAGAGAAATGCCAAGCCCTCAACTGCCCCACCATTCCTTTCTCGCCTTTGTCCCATCCAGAGGTGGGTCCACATGCAATCACATGGGTCTGTTCTGTCAATATTTACCCCCTGGTTCTGTAAAGCAGATGACCCCAGAGAAGCCAATATCTGGCCCTGAGCCTGCTAGAGGCAGGGAGAGGAATGTTTAGGTGGGGAAGGATTTTCCATCTTCCTGGACAACCAGGAGCAGACCCTTAAGTTTTGGAACCATTTTAAACATCAAGAGGCTAAATCTCTTTCCCATCTTTTAATATGGTACAAATTGGGTCACTCAGCAACTGGGTGAACTGAGTTAGGGGTGCCCTGAGGCATTGTGGCTTCCCTTCCAGACATGCCTGAGAGCTTGGTCCTGAAGGGAGTGGGATAGAAGCAGGAGCTCCATCCCATCCATCGCCTCCCCTTCCCAAAATCTGCCCCCAGGGAAATCCTCTCTGATGAATAAGCTATATCACTGATGGTTCTAAGTGACTGTGGAAACCAAAGGGGGTACCCTCTGCTCTGGGGAGACACTTGGAAGGGGGGCTTTGAGGCTAACCCTTTAGTTCTTTGTGCCTGTGTGTTTGTGAAGCTGGAGTGCCTTCCTCAATTGCTCTCCACCTGGTTTGTTGAAAGAGGGTCTCACTGAACCTGAACCTGGCTGATTTGGCTAGGCTGGCCAATGAGCATCAGGGATCCTCCTGTCAACACTTTCAAGCACCCCATACCCAGCATTTTTACATGGGGTGCTGGAGCATTTCAAGCTCAAGTATTCATGCTTGTTCCTAGTACTTTACCAACAGCCATCCTCCTGGGTTTTTTTTTTTTTTTTTTTTTTTTTAAAAAAAAAAAAAAAAAAAAAAAAAAAAAGAGGACGATAAATCTTTCACTGTGATATATCAAAATAAAAAAAAAATTTTTTTTATTATTAAAATTTTTGGTGGGAGTAGTGGCACACACCTTTAATCCCAGCACTTGGGAAGCAGAGGCAGGTGAATCTCTTGAGTTCGAGGCTAGTCTGGTATACATAGCAAGTTCCAGGCCAGCTGGGGCTTGTCTCAAAAATACCAAAACAACAAAAAACTGCATGATGTTTGCCGTGGTGCACCTTGGAGGTTAGAGTGGGTTTTGACTTGTGTGGCAAGCACCTTTACTAAAGGCTGAGCCATCTTACTGGCCCTTTTTAAAAAATATTTTACTGTGTGTGTGGATAATGTGCCTTTATGGATGTATGCAACCAGTGCCTTGTGCAAGACTTTCATTATACTCCAGAGCACGTAAGATCGTTCCAGACTCCAGACAAGACCTGGATGGCTCCCCGACCCTGTCTGCCAGTTGTCCTTATTTTCTCCTCTGCATTTTACATGGAAGATGAAAATAATAGCCAACACTGCCATAGACACTGATGAGTTCTCAACAGCCTTTTTTCTTTTTTTAAGGCCTGAACTCTGTGTAGCTAAGAAAGATCTTAAGCATTAAGGGATTAAGCAAGCATTCTATCAACTGAACTACACTCCCAGCCTCTAGAAAGTTGGGTGTACAGCAGTGTACACCTATAATCCCAGCTCTAGGGAAGCAGAGACAGATTTCTTAGGCTTCCTGGCCAGCCAATTAAGCCAAACAGTGAGCTCCAAATACTGTGAGAGACCCTGTCTCAAAAAATAAGCCAGGGGCTAGAGAGATGGCCTAGTGGTTAGGAATACTTGTTCTTCCAAGAGACCTGAGTTTGGTTCCCAGCACTCAATGTTGGGCAGCTTACAACCACCTGCAGCCTCAAGTCCAGCGGATCCTACGCGCTCTTCTGGCCTCTGGGTACCCACACATACAGCATGCACACACACATATGTACACTTTTTTCTTTCTGGAGAAAGGGTATCATGTATCCCTTTCTGGCCCGGAACCCACTTTGTAGACCAGGCTGACCTGGAACTCAGAGATCTATCAGCCTCTGTCTTCTGAGTGCTAGGTTAAAGATGTGTGCCACTAAGCCTGGCCACACTTTTTTTGTTTTTATTTTTTTTATTTTATTTATTTATTTTTTTGGTCGTTTTTGACTCGGGGTCTCTCTGTAGTCCCAACTGGCCTGGAACTCTACTATGTAGACCAGGCTGGCCTGGAACTCACAGAGATCTGCTTGCCTCTGTTTCCCGTGTCCTAGGATTAAAGGCATGTGCCACCACACTTGGTGCAAAAAAATACATTTTTTTTTTTTTTCTTCTTTTTGAGACAGGGTCTCCCTGTAGCCCCAGCTGTCCTGGAACTCACTATGTAGACCAGGCTGGCCTTGAACTCACAGAGATCTGCCTGCCTCTGCCTCCCAAGTGCTGGGATTAAAGGCATGTGCCACCACGCCCAGCCGAAAATTTTTTTTTTTTTAAAGATGGAGGAGGGGCTGGAGAGATGGCTCAGCAGTTAAGAGTACTGACTGCTTTTGCAGGGTTCAATTCCCAGCATTTACATGGTAGCTAACAGCCATCTGTAACTCCATTTCCAGGGGATCCAGCTCCCTTTTCTGTCTTCCTTGGGCATTGCATGACACAGGTGCACCTACCTACATGTAGGCAATACACTTATACACATAAAAATAAATAAAAATGGCCCAGTAGGTAAAGGCACTTGCCTTCAAACATGATGTGATCTGAGTTGACTTCAATTCCTGGGTGCCACATGGTAGAGGAGAAAACAGCCAAGTTGTCCTCTGACCATGCATGCCCTATGGCCCACATCCCCTTGGCCAAACATGCACCAAATCAATTCTTAAAAAAATAACAAATGTAACTATAGGTTTATTTCTTAACTTTGTATGTGTATGAGTGTTTTGCTTGCAAAGTGCACTCGTGTGTGCAATGCCCATGGAAGTCAGAAGATGGTGTCAGATCCCTTTGAACTGGAGTTACAGATGGTGGTTAGCCACAGTGTATGTGCTGGGGACTGAACCTGGGTTCTCTGCAAGAGCAGCCAGTGCTCATAACTGCTGAGGCATCTCTCCAGCTGTTTCCCCTTTAAGTTTATATTTTAATGTTTTGTGAATAAAAGTAATTTTTAAACTTTAAATTTTTATTTATTTTGTATGTATGACTGTTTATGCCTGCATGTATGTAAGTGCACCCATGTCATGCAATGCCCCCGAAGGCCAGAAGAGGGTGTCAGAATCCCTAAAACGACTTACAGATGGTTGCTAGCCATTATGAGGATGTTGGGGTTTGAACCTGGGTCTTCTGCAAGAGTAGCCAGTGCTCTTAACCACTGAGCCATCTTTCCAATCCAGAATAAATGTAATTTTTTGGTCTTTTTTTGAGACAGGGTCTTCCTGTAGCCCCAGCTGGTCTGGAACTCTCTATGTAGACCAGGCTGACCTCAAACTCACAAAGATCTGCCTGCCTCTGCCTCTGCCTCCCAAGTGCTGGGATTAAAGTCATGCACCACCATGCCCCACTATGAATGTAATTTTATTTTTTGAGACAGGGTCTCTGTAGTCCCAGCTGTCCTGGAACTCACTATGTAAACCAGGCTGGCCTTGAACTCAAGAGATCTGCCTGCCTCTGCCTCCCTAGTACTGGGATTAGAGGCCTGTGCCACCATACCCATCTAAAAAAAAATCATTTAAAAGAATGAGGTAGAGAGCAATTAAAGACACCTGATGCCAACCCACATGCAAGTGTGAACACACACAAATATATATACACAGAGAAAAAGAGAAGAACAGATTGAACTGAAAAGACCAGGCATGGTGCCTCATAGCTGTAATCCCAGCACTTGGGAAGTGGAGGCATAAAGTCATTGTCCGATACAGTTTGAGACTAGCCTGGGTTGCATGAGACCCTGTCTCCAGTTACAAAAAAAAAACAAAACTGATGCATCGAGGTGATTTGCCTAAGGTGAAGGCTCAAACATGCTTTGGCACTAAGCTGATACGCAGAGCTGTGTGCCGTGGGTAGAGAGCATGGCTGTAGTACCTCTGGTTTCTGCTTCCTTGTTAACCTTCAGCCTCCCAAGCCCTTTTGTACTTCTTGCCTTCCTTCATCCCACCCATGTCTTTCACCTGCCATTATCTCCCTTTAACCCCTAAGTTAAGGAGACACAGACACTGGAATCACCAGGGTTACCCACCCAGTATCTGACAGATGCTTGAGATCCAACAAGTCCCAGCCTGATATCTTCCTACAGTGAAACTATAGATGTTGAGTGAAGGCCTTGCTGGCATCATTTCTATGGCCTCCCCTGAGATGATAAAAAAAAGGAGATGCTGGGGCTGGAGAGATGGCTCAGCAGTACTCTTGTACTGGATGCTCTTGTAGAGGACCTGGGTTCGGTTCCCAGCATCCATATGGCAGCTAACAACCATCTGTAGCTCCAGTTCCAGGGGAATTCTATACCTTCTGACCTTCTTGGGCATTGCACAACACAGGTGCACTTATATACATGCAGGCAATGCACTCAAAAAAAAATTTTTTTAAGTGAGATGGCCAGGGGAAAAGCATTTTTGGTCTTGGTACCTAAAAAGCATGAGACATTCTTGTTTTGAGATGACATTTGAAGAATAGAAAGAACAGTTTTCTGACCTGTAGTCCAGACTCCTATGGGAAAAGTTCTGAGACTCCTTACAGAAAGCAAAAATGGGGCAAAAATGAACCCATGTTGAACTGCAGGTGGAACTTGCATGAAAGGTCAAGACAATCAATCTAGAGATGATCCAGGTTTATTCTCAGTTCCTGTTCTTTCCCGTATCCAAAGAGCAATAAGCTTTGCCACATTCACTCCTACCTGGGCTCCAGCTTCCCCCATTCAACTGCTCACATGTTGATGATCAAAGATCGTCTTTCTAGCCACACTTCGGCCTATCAGAGAAGGCAGCCTAGGACTTGTGGGTCCTGCCCCTGGCAGATCCTAGAAAGTGTCCAGGTTGCATCCTTCATCCAAGTATTCTTTGATCTTTGTGAGTAGGGTAGAAGGGCTACTGGCTACCTGCCTCTCGCCTACCTCCTTGAGGGCCACTTGTTCCACACAGGCCTGGCTCTGGGGCCACAGCCTTGATTGGAGATCCCTGAAGGAGCTGACCAGGGCTCACACCAGAGGAGACAATACAGCATGGGGTTGAGGGAGCTGCTGCTGTGTGCCAGGCAGGTAGTGACCCGAAAGACATAGGTATGGATGGTGTAGAAAAAGACATAGGTATGGATACCCCAAAAAGTGACCACATGGTTAGGGAGCCAGCAGAGGAAGAAATACGGATACGGATAGAGTGCCGCCACTCTGCTGTCGCTGCCTCTGCCGTAGGAAAGCCAGCAGCAGCAAATAGCTGGTGGTGATGATGCCCAAGGGCACCATGAAGTCCAGTACCACCCTCTGCAGCTGGTAGGCCCCCAGCCAATATCTGCTGGGGAAGCACAATAGGCAGAGATACAGGTCCCACAGCTCACTCTCACCACCAAAGATAGCCGTGGGCACAATCACCAGGGCAGCTGCTACCCATGCTGCCAGGGGAGCCAGAGGAGCTCAAAACAGTGAGGTGACTGCCTGGCCTCACAATCATGGCCACCACCCAGTATCAAGCAATGCTCAGTGGAAGATGCCTAGCACAGGTGTTGAGGACAGTGGCTGTCAGGACTATCAGACAGCACTTCCAAAAGGCCAGTCAAAAGTCCAGTGCTGACTCAGCTACCCAGAATAGGAGAGTGAGGGCCAGCCCCAGGTCTGCCAGAACCAGTCTGAAGACAAAGGTGTCAGAAGGTGGGCCAGGTGCTCACTGAGCACAGTCACCCATCCCCACACAGCACAGACAAATTTTCCAGCAAGCCAATGACCCCCACAAGTCCATAGGCCAGAGCAACTACAGTCCTCAGTGCAAGGAACTGGACAGACATCGCAGCACCTTCAGTACTCAACATGCTGTCTCCAGAGCTATTGGCCCAGAAGAGTATAGGCAGAAGAATTGGATGTGGGTATTGCAAGGTATCAGCTTGCAGGAGCAGAGCAGAGGAGCCAGCAACCACAGCTGTCTCAGCAGGAGAGCTCTCAGAGGAGGCCAGGGATCTGGGTATTGATCCAGAGCTTCAGGTTGCAGGAGCCTTGGTCCATGCTCACACCCCAGAGGGAGGGGTGTGGGTAGAACAGCCTACCCCTTTTGTATTGGGCAAGGTTGGTAGAGGGTGCGGCACTAAGGAAGGGATACGTGCACACTGCACACTGGAGACTGAGGGAGGGTCACCACAGGGAGGAGACAGCTTGTCTGGAATAACCAGAGATTCCGCTACAATGAGCAGGTTGCAGAGGCCCCTCTGCTCAAAGTGCTCCCTAGACTATTGGGAGAAGCTAGCCAGAATGAGTCTGAGAGAGGAACAAACAACTGTCTGGAGACCCACACCTCCTACTCCTTTGCTGTGTGTCTCTGGATGAGTTACTTTAGCTTTCCTGAACCTCTTTTCTTGCTTACAATTTCAGTGAGCAGGCCAGAGAGGTAGCACAGTGGGTAAAGGTGCCTGCTGCTAAACCTGATGACCTGAGTTCAATCTCTAGAATCCACATGGTGGAAGGATATAGCCAACTCTAACAAGCTGTCTTCTGACCTCCAAATATGTTCTGTGACTCACGCACACACGCGTGCACACACACACACTGTAAAAAATTTTTTGACTCGGTGAAGTGGCAAGTGCCTGTGATCCCAGCACCCTGGGAGGCTAAGGCATCTGAATCACCTGAGCCCAGGAGTTCAAGGCCAGTCTTGGCAGCACTGTAAGACATAATCTCAAAGAATAAATAGGGTCGTGGAGATGGTTCAGTGGGTAAAGGCCCTTAGTGCACCTTTACCTGTTAGGTCGACCTGAGCTCAAACCCTGGAACCTGTATAAACATGAAAGGAGAGAATTGACTCCACAGAGTTGTTCCCTAACCTCCATGAGGGCTGTGGTATTTGACACCCCCCCAACACACTAATAAATTTAAAAATAAAATAAGATAAAAATTTAAGATCAGGCTTGGCTATCGAGATGGCTTACACCTTTAATCCCAGCACTTGGGAGGCAGGAATAGATGGATCTCTGTGAGTCTGAGTCCAGCTTGGTCTACATAATGAATTCTAGGCCAGCAGAGGCTACTTAGTGAGACCCTGTCTCAAACAAAAAAATCAGGCTTGGTGTTATGCCCTAGGCCTGCCTGTAATCACAGCACTTTCAGTGGAGGCAAGCTCAGCAGCAGTTGAAGGGATAGCTTTGGCTACACAACCGGTTGGAAGCTAGCCTAATTATATGAGCCCCTGGGAAACAAAAACAAAAACAAACAAGGCCTGGGAGCTTGAGAGAGAACTCAGCAGTTAAGAGCTCATACTGCTCTTCCAGAGAACCAGAGTTCAATTCCCAACACCCATGTCAAGCGACACTACTGCCTGTAACTCCAGCTCCAGGAGATCCAACAGCCTCCAGGGGCACTTGCACTTACCTGCTCGTATTCATGCAGACACACATGCATATATGATTAAAAATAAGAAATCATGCCGGGTATGGTGGTGCACACCTGTAATCCCAGCACTTGGGAGGCAGAAGCAGGCGGATCTCTGTGAGTTCAAGGCCAGTTTGGTCTACATAGTGAGTTCCAGACCAGTTGGTGCTACAGGGAGACCCTGTCTCAAAAAGACCAAAAAAATTACAATAATAATGAAAATGAAAAATAAAAATAGGGAACCTTGGGGCTGAAGAGATGGATCAGTGGTTAAGAGCACTTGCTGTTTTTCCAGAGGACCTGGGTTCAGTTCCCAACACACATATGGCAGCTCACTACCATCTCTAACACCAATTCCAGAGGATCCTACGCCCTCTTCTGGCCTCCAAGGGAATGGGTGCACTTACATACATGCAGGGAAAACAATCATACAAATAAATAAATATAAACAAATACATTTTTTTTTGTCTTTTTGAGATAGGATCTCTCTGCAGCCCCAGCTGGTCTGGAACTTGCTGTGTAGACTAGGCTGGCCTCGAACTCACAGAGCTTCACATGCCTATGCCTCCTGAGTGCTGGGATTCAAGGTGTGTGCCACCACGCTCAGCTAAATAAATATTTTAATTAAAATTTTTTTGGAGGGGCTGGAGAGATGGTTCAGCGGTTAAGAACACTGTTCTTGCCCAAGACCTGGGTTCAAATCCCAGCACACACATGGACAGTTTCTTCTGTCCTCCACAGGCATTGCACAGCATGGGTGCATGTACGTACATGCAGGCAATACACACATACACATTAAAAAATAAAAATAAATATTTAAAAAAATTGTTTTTGGTCTTTTTTTTTTTGAGACAGGGTCTCCCTGTTTTAAAGGCGTGTGCCACCATGTCCGGCTTGATTAAATTTTTTTTAATTAAAAATCTTGCTGGGTGCCCAGCATGGTGGCGCACGCCTGTAGTCCCAGCACTTGGAAGGCAGAGGCAGGTGGATCTCTGTGAGTTCAAGGCCAGCCGGTCTACATAGTGAGTTCCAGGACAGCTGGGGCTACAGGGAGACCCTGTCTCAAAAAGACAAAAAAAAAAAAATGTTGCTGGGTGTGACGATGCATGTCTTTAATCCAAGGACTCAGGAGGCAGAGGTAGTCCTAGAGTGCTTGCCTAGTATCCGTGAAGCATGTCCCCAGCACCATATAAATTAAGCGTGATCCCCACACTCAAGAGCTGGATATAGAAGGGTCAAAAGTTCAATGTCATTCTCAACTACTTAACAAAGCCAGCCTGGGCTACTTGAGACCCTGTTTCAAAGAAACAAAAGGCAAGGCTCAGTAGGTAAAGGTACATGGTACCAAGTCTCATGACCTGAGTTTGATCTTTGGATCAGAGGCAAGTTGTCCTCTGACCACCACATGAGTGCCATGACACATGCACACATAAACATGCAAATACATACATACACACACATACAAATACAATTTTATGCCTGTGAGATAGCTCAGTAGATAAAGGCCCTGCTGCCAAGCCTGATGATTTGAGTTCCATTCCGGTGGAAGGAAAGAACTGACCCCCTAAAGTTGTCCTCTGTTCTCCACACCCATGCTTATGTTCCAGGCCCTGGGTTCAATCCTCAACACCAAGTAAACAGTAATAACTAAAATAAACAAATAAAAACCTAAGAAAACAGAGGGGGCTATAGAGATGACCCAGTAGTTAAGAGCACTGGCTGTTCTTTCAGGATTTGGTTCCCAGCACCCACATAGCAGCTCAAAACTGCAACTCCAGCTCCAGGGCATCTGAATCCCTCTCTGGCCTCCTCAGGCACTAGGCACACACGGTACACATATATACATGCAGGCAGACACTTATGTACATAAAATAAGAATAATAAATCTTGCTGGGCATGGTGGTACCTGCCTTTAATCCCAGCACTCGGGAGGCAGAGGCAGGCGGATCTCTGTGAGTTCAAGACCAGCCTGGTTTACATAGTGAGTTCCAGGACAGCTGGGGCTACGGGGAGACCCTGTCTCAAAAA